GCGGAGGTGGTGGAGGCGGTGGATTGGACCGAGTAGAGCTCGTAGGGCTGTCACATCGGTGGAGTGCCATCCGGTTGCGAGCGTCCTTAACAGAAAAACCACACTTGTCAAACTCAACGGTAACAGGATTTTCACATGTAAAAGAACGAACATAGACAAGATTTTTGATAAGATCAAGAGAAACAAAGGTGTTAGATAATGACAATGGAGTAGATGTGGATGGAAAAGATGCATGTCCTATATGAGTAATGGGAGCAGAGGAACCGTCATCGAGGATGATGCGAGCGGAGGTGTGGACGGGATAGGAGGTGTGGAGGTTACAGGGATGAGCAGACATATGCGCGGTAGCTCCAGTGTCCATATACCATTTGCCGCCGCCGGTGTAGGTGGACGGAGAGGGCGCAGAGTGCTGGGCCGCCAGGAGCGTTGAGTCCCACGGCACGGGTGGAGGGCAGGCTGCTGTGGCGGCGCCGTCAGGGGCAGCAGTGGCAGCCCTCCTAGCTGTGGCGGCTGTCCGTAGGAGAGGGGCCCGTAGGGCTGTGGCATGGCGTAAAATGCCTGATGAGAAGGAGGTCGCGCGCCAAGGATACCTGGGGTAGGGGCATGGGGAACCGGCATGGAGTAGGCATGCATAACGCCGGTCCACGGGTTCTGGCCGATGGACCATGGGGCTGGTTGATACGACTGCTGGGGGCGGGCGGCTCCTCCCTGAGCCCCGGCGACCTGCTGCTTGATACGTCTCCAACGTATCTATAATTTTTTATTGTTCCATGCTATTATATTATCTGTTTTGGATGTTTTATATGCATTAATATGCTATTTTATATGATTTTGGGATTAACCTACTAACCTAGAGCCCAGTGCCAGTTCCTGTGTTTTTTCTTGTTTTAGATTTTCGTAGAATAGGAATACCAAACGAAGTCCAAACGGAATAAAATGTTCGTGATGATTTTTCTTGGACCAGAAGACACCCGGGAGACTTGAACTACAAGTTATAAGAGCCGCGAGGCGGCCACAAGGATGGAGGGCGCGCCCAGGGAGTAGGGCGCGCCCCCCAACCTTGTGGGCCCCTTGGTGACCTCCTGACCTAGATCTTCCTCCTATATATACTCATATACCCTGAAAACTTCCAGGGGAGCCTCGAAACCACTTTTCCACCGCCGCAACTTTCTGTACCCGTGAGATCCCATCTTGGGGCCTTTTTCGGCATCCTGCCGGAGGGGGATTCGATCATGGAGGGATTCTACATCAACACCATTGCCTCTCCGATGAAGCGTGAGTAGTTTGCCACAGACCTACGGGTCCATAACTAGTAGCTAGATGGCTTCTTGTCTCTCTTTGATTGTCAATACCATGTTCTCCTCGATGCTCTTGGAGATCTATTCGATGCAATACTCTTTTGTGGTGTGTTTGCTGAGATCCGATGAATTGTGGATTTATAATCAGCTTATCTATGAATATTATGTGAATCTCCTCTGAATTTTGATATGCATGATTTCATATCTTTGCAAGTCTCTCTAAAGTATCGATTTGGTTTGGCCAACTAGATTGGTTTTTCCTGCAATGGGAGAAGCACTTAGCTTTGCGTTCAATCTTGTGGTGCTCGATCCTAGTGGCAGAAGGGGAACCGACATGTATTGTATTGTTGCCATCGAGGATAACAAGATGGGGTTTTCATCATATTGCTTGAGTTAATACCGCTACATCATGTCATCTTACTTATTGTGTTACTCTGTTCTTATGAACTTAATACACTAGATGCAGGCAGAAGTCGGTCGATGTGTGGAGTAATAGTAGTAGATGCAGAATAGTTTCGGTCTACTTGACACGGATGTGATGCCTATATTCATGATCATTGCCTTAGATATCATCATAGCTTTGCGTTTTTCTATCAATTGCTCGGCAGTAATTTGTTCACCCACCATAATAATTTCTATCTTGAGAGAAGCCTCTAGTGAAACCTAGGGCCCCGTGGTCTATTTTCCATCTTATAAGTTTCCGCTCTATAATTTTATTTTCGTATTTACTTTCTTTGCAATCTTTAACTTTCCATTCCATAAACCAAAAATACCAAAAATATTACTTTACCATTTATCCATCTCTATCAGATCTCACATGCAAATAACCGTGAAGGGATTGACAACCCCTTTATCGCATTGGGTGCAAGTTGGTGTTTGTTGGTGCAGGTATTCGGTGGCTTGCGTGTTGTCTCCTAATGGATTGATACCTTGGTTCACAAAACTGAGGGAAATACTTACTCTACTTTGCTGCATCACCTTTTTCTCTTCAAGGGAAAAACCAACGCAAGCTCAAGAGGTAGCACTGCTGCTTGTGGCCATCACGGCGGCCATCGCGGCGACACCCGTTAGCTGTGGGCGGGGGTGGCGGGAAGGGGGCGGCCGGCGCCTGGGGGTAGGCCGGTGGGACCTGCGCGGGATGCGGCGGAGGTGGCGCCAAGCGCCCACGGGTGCCGGCGACGAGGGCGGTGTGGGTCGCCCGAGTCCGGGCCATCTTCATCCGTCGCTCCTCCAACTTGAGGTACGCCACCACCTTGACAAAGGTGGGCTCCGGGATGAGGGTGAGGTTGTAGGCGGCGTTCCCAAAGTCCTCGTTGAGGCCGGCAGTGAGGGTGCTGATGAGGAGCTTGTCACCGACCGTCTCGCTGAGATCGCGAAGTTCATCGGCAAGCTTTTTGAGGCGCATGCAAAAATTGTCGATGGACGAGTCAAGCTGCTGGCACCCGTAAAACTCGTCGTATAGGAGGACCTTATGCTATAGTTTGTTGTCGGTGAAGAGGCCGTTGAGCTTGGTCCAGACGGCTTAGGGGTCATCGTCATCATCCACCACCATGTGGAAGACGTCCTTGGAGATGGTGAGGTAGAACCAGTGGATGATGGTGGCGTTGAGGATCATCCACTCCTCGTCGTGAATCATGAGGCTCGAGTCCACGGTGCCGCCGACGTGGCCGTGGGGTAGGTACTCGCGGAACACCAAGGAGAAGTACCACTTCCAAGCGGAGTAGGATGCGGTGGATTGATCAAGCACCACTGAAATGCGCTCGTGGATGTTGACTGGTTTTTGATTGGATAGTGATATTACTAACACTTATGACTGAGCCACACTTGCTTTCCAAAAGAAATTGAAACTATCATGCCTTAGACTAGCCAATAGAAGAAAGAGCCACAAGCAAGGCATAGCAGCATCCTTTTTCTTCGTTTTCTTCAACATTGCGAATCTACCTCACTCCTCATCATAACTCAAATACAAATTCGAGTTCCAAATTGATATTTCCTCACGTAAGCAATAAAATGTGAAACCAGTATTCATCATGAAACTTCAGACACTGATGATTGTGAGGTTCTGGAAGAGAGACGACGTAGGCTAGAAAAAAGTAAACAGAAAACCACCCCTTAAACTCATTTGCTCAACATTCTTTCCACAACAACTAGAAAAGTGGAGAAAATCCAATAATGGGAGGTCCTGTTGAATATAAATCAATTGGAAACTGAACCCCGCATTCATGTCTCTAGCAAGGCTGTCTAAGCTAAGCAGCCATGGACCCATGGACCCGGGGAATATGAACCATTAGGTAGAGTTTCAGCTGAAAGAAAAGGCAGACAGAGATTTTCGCCATATCCGTATACATTCATCACCCTCATTACAGCATTTGCTAAGCATGAAAAGTGGTTTGAGCTATGCTTATGTGCACGAAAATGCAGGAGAAAGGATGGCACCCAGAGACGAGGAAGGGCGTAGCAAGCGACAAAATGCTTCGGGGAGTTGAAATAAGCATAGATCTGGAGATTCCCAAATAGGTCAACCTTTTGAACTACCTGCTGAGTCCATGAGCAGGCAAGAGACAACCTGACAAACTGAAACATCTTAGTAGCCAGAGGAATAGAAAGGGTAATATTGCTCTTTAGAAAACACGTATAGTGGCCTTCGTCGATGGGGCAAACTCTCCACTCGTGCCTGCCGAAACAACCCTTCCTCAATTGGCAGTTTCAAGGTTAGAGTTTCCATTTCTTAGAAAGCCACTTCTCTAAGCATGCATGCCGACATAGGTGTCACGGTAATCATAGAAGTTTGATTGTTGTGTGGTAAGGAGTCAGTCAACCAATTGCTAAGGGGTAAGGCTAAGCTCTCTTTCTCATTAAGAAAGCGGTCCATCCTAAGAGATCGACATCATACTAAGGACTATGTCGAGCAAGGTCCGAAAGGATTTCAATTCCACCGATTCCCAGGTAAAAAGGTTACATTCTCACATTTCTTTTTTGATCTCATGACTTTTTATGCGATCGGAAAACGAATGAGATCAGAAAGATAGGCGGACGACTTTACCATAAGGTCGGATGTTTCCGTGAGCAGTAAGCAGCGGATCTCCCCTTTTTGGGGGAAAGCTGGTGGCCCTTTTGGCGTGTTAATTCTTTCGATGCGGCGGCCTTCTTCGTTCGGTAGATCCGGTCGAGGTGGTTTTCATTTACCAGCGCGTAGGTGGTCTAAGTTCCTATGACCGAGTCTTTCTAGCCCCTATGAACATATTTTCTTAATGTATTAAAGAGGGCCTCTCTAACCGGTGAAAAGTGGTAGGTGTCCACTAACGGCTATTCCTGGCTCGGCTCCGATAACACAATTTCGGGAGGAGACGGTAGTTGGGCACTGGATCCCTTTGGACCTGGAGAACGTGTGACACTGGGTCGGGGTTTGGTGAACCAATAGGTCGCTCCTTTAGTTGAAGTATCGGGCCCCTTTTTTGTTGCCTAGGTTACACCTTCGGAATACCCCAGATGGGGATTTCACTCTATTTCCCCCAATCTTCACTTTACGCCACGCCGACTCTCCATCGTGGAATTAGACCAAGGGTCAAAGACCCATATCATAGGACCCCGCCTCCCGTATCTTATCTTTCGCGCGTAGGAGATTGAGACACAACCTTAGGGCTATGGGGAAAGTGGATCGATTGCCCTAGAATTACAACTACGTAGAGGGTCTCTACAAGTCTATAAATAACTTCCAAAAAATTGATTGGTAGTAGTCCGGTCACACCAGAACAATAATATTCTAGAGGGAAATGCACCTAAGATCAAATATTTTGAGCCGGCTTCCGTGGAAAATTCAGACTTTCTTTTTGATGATACGATCACATAAAAACATAAACTTTGAAGCTCAATAGCTAAATACATGGCAATTAAATCATGAGTCGGGATCATTAAGAGCATACTGCGAGTAGGAAGTGGAATTAACACAATGAATTCAGAAGCATCAAACCTCTCCTTTTCAAAAAAAATCGAAACACATTAAAATGGTACTAGCCGTACTTAATAATAGAAGGATTTGGCAGAAATATGTAAAATTGTCCCTCCTAAAAAAATTATTCGAGAATAAATGGGCAATAGTGTGATCTGCTGCTTGCGGTCAGTACTATGTGTGATCTCCTTCATATTTCTTCATGAAGATACCTCTAATGTTCCCACTAGATCTTAGACCCGCCAACCTCCACTCTCGCCTTTCTGTTTATTTCCCGCTATCTGAATCTTTAGTTCCACTTCTGACTACATGAGAGATGACCTGCTTTCTGATTCTCTCTTTTATTTCTCTTTCTTTCTTTCTTTCTCATCTCTTTCTGATTATTTCTGACCTTATTCTTTATTAGTGTGATAAAAGCCGTCCCTGCTTTCATTTTGTGTTGTTTTTTCCTTGTTTCCCCTTTTTAGCGGTGGATTACTATCTGTTTGTTGGGATTTATTGGTATGTATTGTTGTTCCGTATACCCTCACGTGGCTAACTAGAGCATAACAACATATACGGTGTGGTTAGTACTACCCTACCATTTTGTGATGGGATAGTATGGTTGTATTGTTCCATTCCAAACCCTTGTGTCAGTGCCACTACACTTCTGTACTGATTGGTACTAGAGGACGAGAATTATAGTGAGAAATAGTGGATTTCTTTTCTTTGGGTTTCTGTTGGGCTGACTTTTATGACCTCTCGGTTCTGGATTTCTGATCGCGGCTTATCTTGAATACTTTTTTTCATATAGGATTTAGTCAATCATACTTATGAGTATTCCTCTAATAGCGTGATAAAACGTTGCAACTCTCGTATATCTTTAGCGACTAGTGTTTTGATTCTTTATTAGTGTGATAAAAGTTGTCCCTGCTTTTTTCATCCATCAACTGGAATCGCTTTGATTTCGCAATCATACCTTTGACCGTATAATATTTCCATGACATCAGATCAAAACGTTCACAGAGATCAGTGAGAGTTCCTATATCAATATGAGGAATACTAGTACAATAGTACCGGAATCTAAGACTTCGTCTCTTGAATAAGTAATTCATATTCCCATATCTCTTTCGTTTTTGGCCGGTTTTGTGGTAAGCGTGATAGATTGAATCAACAAGCACTAGTGTGATCTACTGCTTGCCGTCAGTACTACGTGTGATCTCCTTCATATTTCTTGATGAAGATACCTCTAATGTTCCCACTAGATCTTCACTCTCGCCTTTCTGTTTATTTCCCGCGATCCGAATCTTTAGTTCCACTTCTGACTGGATGAGAGATGACCTGCTTTCTGATTTTCTCTTTTATTTCTCTTTCTTTCTTTCTTTCTCATCTCTTTCTGATTATTTCTGATTCTTTATTAGTGTGATAAAAGCCGTACCTGCTCACGGACGAGGGTGACATCAGGGCCGTCAAAGGGGTTGCAGATGGTTGAGGAGGAGGAACTCATGGCGCAACGAGGAGGGAGTGGGAAGGCGTGGCGCGGGTGGGGCGGCTAGGGTTAGGGTTCGGCGCGGGTCGGGTTGGGGTTCGGCACGGGTGGAGCGGCTAGG